GTAAATCTAGAAAATAAAAAATAAATGTCAGTTATAAAAATTTTGAAATAACCTCTGAAGCTAAATAAAGATTAAAATAATCTTTGAGTACATACATGTGTTGCGGTAGCCTTTCTTTTTCGCCAGTTTGACTTCCTCCGTTACCCACGTTCCGACAAGAGCTCGCTCGTCGTCTGTGTGGGTACACGGAGTCTGCAGTTGAAGAAGGGCGCAAGTCCGACACAGGGGAAACATCAGCTTCTTCCGGCACCGATAGGGCAGTACCCGGAAGATACAGATTCCGGGGAGGAATCACTCAGGCATTGGATATTCCAAATAATCTTCCACATCTCCAAAGCTTTTCGTGATGATTGTTGGATGTCCCACAGGGTAGACGCAATACTTTTGTTCACCTGTGAATGAAAACAAAAAAAGTCAGAAAAACACTCATAAAATATACAGAAAATTTAGAAAAAGTTTAAGTAAACGTTTTTGAAATAATAAAAAGTACGAACCCATGGATATAGAGGATGTAAAATCCACATATTTTGCGTCTCCCTCGTGAACAATTTGAGGGCATTGGTCCTTCCTCCAAAAAAACGACTCGCGAGGATTGAGTCGATCCCTCAGATGGTGTTGATCCAGGAAAGCTTGGAGATCTGGATTTTCTTCCTTCTGTCTTTGAAATTCATGCTCCCACATTTCGATGACGTGGAAACCCTGGGTACGAAGCTTTCTTGTCGTCTCTTCTGGTCTTTCTCTCTTAACCGTTGCCATGGAAACCCCTTTCAGTGGATGTATGATATCACCACGTATAGCACGAACTACATCCGTGAAAGAAACAGCCCTAAAATAATACAAATATATATTAATAGTCTTTAACATATAAATCATTCAAAAAAATCACATAGAAAAGGAATGGTTATATTTTCTTACCTGAAAACTGATAGACGGTTTGTGTTTCTTGGCAGAAACCGTCTACCGAGATTCCGGCGACTCTGTGCTCTCCGGAACCGTTCAACGCATGTTGAATCTGTATTCCTTCCGAAGCAGCAACAAAGTCCAACCATCGGATCGAATCAGGGCTGTAATTCGTTGAGTTGAATGTAGCCGTGTGTGTAGGCACCATGGCAATCGTGTCGGGTTGAATGTGGCCACTCCGATACGTTGCCATACAGGCTGACGCGAATGGTCACGTATCTGAAAAGACAAAAATAAGAACGATTTAATGAACTGTAAATATGATTATTATTGTTATAAGAAAATGAGAAAATTCTTACTGGAATGGATCCACATTCGCCACCAAAAAAACTGGGCTCGAAACTCCAGGCAACGGCGAAGAATGTCCCCGTCCGATCTATTAAAAGAAAAAAATGTTAAAATACGAAACATAAAATATATGAATAAAACAAAATATTAAATAAATAAGAATAAGGAGGGGGAAAAATATACCTGCAATAGGCCAGCATCTCTGCTTGAAAGTTAAACACGTCCCCCTTGTGTGCTTCGTGCCAGGATAGAAATGCTTTTCGGGCTGGAGTACTCATGGTATCCGGGCTGTAGTACTGGGCTCAGGCAGCGGTCCGACATAACTCTGGTTTTCTCGGGAGTTAAAGAGATGACGGGAAGTAACCCTTTTTCAACTCGGTGAGACCGAAGCATCCCGGTAGCTTGGCCAACGCCATCGGCAGAAAATTTAACGAGTCTATGACCCGAATGTTCAGACTAGGATGTCTTACATTCATGATCATAGACCCGTTAGGGATCACCTCCGGCGCTGTACCTTGCTCCAGGAGCCAGGCCATCACGAACTGTCCGTCGAACCTGTAAGTAACAAAAAAAGTAGGAATAATATTGAAAAAAATAGTCGTACTTTAAAAGCATGCAAACTAAAGTATTTTAACTTACCCTTTCATGTTATGTGCCATAGCGGTGAAGCCCTTGTGCTCTGTGGAGAACAGCCAGGCGCAGAAATCTTGACATGCCGCGTATCCCGGAAACACTTTTTCTGTGCCGTCGGCATACTGAGCCACCGCGAAATTTACGAGGTGTTCTCCGGAAGACTGGTCCGTTTCAAAGTCAAAGAAAATGAAATTGTCATCGGACTTCTTCGGAGCAACACGTCGCAAATAACAACGGTGCTCAGCAGCCACGACAAACTGGCTGCAAGACGGACATTTGGTGGTTCCACACTTGTGAAGCTCTTTAGGACAATCGCGCCTCCGGATCACTTGGCAGCAGTCCCTGCAGTGGTATACCTGTAACGACAATTATTATTTTTTTTAAACACAACAATTTCAAAAAAAGTGCATGATAAATAACTTTGTTAAGATAAATTTTCAAAAAACACTTACTCTATCGCAAAGTGAAAAATCTTGATTTCCAGTCAGGGCTTTGTGTGCTGTATAACAGACATCAGAGCGGCAGAGACGGTCACAATCCTGGCATCGCTGAGGCTGGCCTGGAAAGCAATCAGTCCTTAGGCATATAGGGCACGCATTGGCACATCGGTGGCTTTCCGGATGATCGTGCGGCTTTTCACATGCTGTGCAATAATGGTTGCTGCCGAAAAATCCTTTCAGGGATTTAATCACATCGTAGTGCGCATCATGGAGCCACAAATTTATCCGTTGTGTCCTCTCTCTTCCTTTATAGACCACCTAAAACACAGACAAAAATTTTCTCTTAAATTTAAAAAATCAAACCCTTTTAGATATATTTTTAACATTGAACTGCCTAAAGTTAATCATCTAAAAATTACTTGTGCATTAAGCATCTAAACTAATTACATGCCTTAATCATCTGAAAATTCCTTGTGCATTTAATTTTAACATCAAAACGAATTGCATATAAAAATAATCTAAACAAGTTAAGTTAATGTAAACCTAAAAGTAAAAATTTTCACAAGTGATATTTTTAACATCTAAACAGAAAAACTTTTCCCTAAATCGAATAATCTTAAACTTTCGATTTTATACATCCTAAATTTTGAATATTTAAACAAATTTCCTACATACATGCATTTTATGCGTGAATATGCATAAAATATAATCTTAAAGGTTGAAGTAGTCTAAAAATTCACTAGGCATTTTTATAAGGCATATTTTTAACGTCTAAAGAAAGACCATTCATGCATAAAATACAAAAGAATCTAAAAATTAAACCATGCGTTTTTACAAGTTATCTTTTTTTTAACATCAAAGCTAATTGATTACATGCACACAATATAAAGTTAATCTAACAATTTATAAAAAGAAAACATTCAGTTTCCCCCATTATATTTTTTAACGTAGAAACTAATTAAAAAAGTTAAAGTTCTCTAAGAATAAAAATTCACCATGCGTTCAGTTTTAAAAGTTTTATTTTTAACATCGAAACGAATTGCGTGCATAAAAGATAAAGTATTCTAAACATAAAAATTTCTACAAGTGAAGGTTTTAACGAATTGCATATATAAAATTAATCTAGCAATTTAAAGTAAACTAAAATCTCACTATGCATTCAATTTTTATAAGGTATATTTTTTAACATCAAAGCGAACTGCATACATTCATGCATAAAATATAATCTTAACATTTAGAGTCATTCAAAAATTCACCATGCATTTTTGTAAGACATATTTTTAGCGTCTAAAGAAATGCATGCATAAAATATAAATTTTATCTTAAATGTAAAATTAATCTAAAATTTTTTTCAAGTTATGTTTTTAGCATCTAAATAAATTTCATACATAAAAATATCTAAAAAAATGTAACACAATCTAGAAAATTCACCATGTATTCAGTATTTTCAAGTTATATTTTTTTAACGTGGAAACGAACTGCATACATGCATAAAGTTAATCTAATAAAAACAGAATTATCTTGAGATAAAAATAATGACTTACTCGGTTCAAGTTTTCCGAAGAAAAGACGGCAATTTGCACATCTAGGTGGTCTTCAAATATGGCGATTTCTGAAAATGTGCAGGGGCCTAGAGGCACATTCGCAGCCATATGAAGTTCCTTTGCCCGTTTCACAAGGGCTGGTCGACGACAATTTTTCATGGCATTGATGGCAGTCGTGTCCTTGTTCAAATGCGCCAAGGCATAAACAATTGCTTTGGCACAACACAGTCCTTCGTCGTCATAGGGAATAGACAAAATAGATTTCTTATCCAGTCTGTCCATGGAGATATTCACTACTTTCCTGTTCCGTCGTCAGCACCCACAGGTCGTCTTGATAGGTGATTACATCCACCGAGAATCCCGTATCCAGTTCGAATCTTGTCTTTAGACTGCAACACTTTCATTACGGCAGCCAAAATCTTTTCAACTGTTAAAGTCGAAACTGTCCATGAGGGACATGTGCTAATCGGCTTTATCCAACCCATCTGCTTGGATACAAAATCGGATGAGGTCCGAGGGGTGATGGGCCCAAATTAGCTGTCGTTCCGGCGAATGAGCTTGTTCAAACAATTCCCGGACGGTGTCAGGAATTCGGACCATCGGGATGCCTTGCACATTCAGAGGCAGCCGTTCGACGTCCACACTGGCTGGAAGGTAATCTCCTCGGCTTGATATTTATGGTTTCGGCGAACGAGACTTTTCTTCGTAAGCACAATCGCCTCATCGATCTGAAAGTAAAAGGAAAAATAAGTTTTCAGTAATAATCAAACATTTTCAAAAAGACATTATTATTAATAAAAGTCATGCAAAAAGAAAAAAAATACGCATACCGAACGTTCATCGGAACCAGCCATGTATACATAGGGCCACGAGCTGATGTTGAAGGAAGTCTAAAAATAAAAATAAATAAAACATAAATACATTCATTTCTAGTACTGAGAAAAAAATATTCTAATAGAATCATAAAAGTAACGAAAATACTTAAATATTTACCTCAAAAATCCGGAACCCACTTGATAATACAAGGGTAGATCCATAGGATTTTCCATGAAAAATCTGATCCACTTCATCGATTAACTATCAAAATAAAATAAAATACGTTTAAAATACATTCAAATAGAATAAAAATAACGTTAAATAAAAAGTGCGTTAAAAATACGTGTAAAAACTTACATCGTCATCTGAGTCCCGAAAGGAATCAGATTTCAAAAGGACTGAATTAAATTTAAAAAATAAAATTCAAAGAAAAATTGTTAAATAGTATCTAGAATTAGTCAGCGAAAAATTACTTAGATGCAATGTCTCTCAAGTCAAACGTTCACAGCAAAATAGTTTGATGAAAACTTATTACTTACTTTTTTCTGGTCATTAACTACTAAAGAGTTTTCGCCAGTAGATCGCATTAAAGTGCACTAGGCAAAGATATTTTCAAATAAATGGTACTAGGGAAGTACCAACACCCCGTGGGCGAAGAAAATTCAGCTGCGTGAGCAGGCATATCTTAATACTTACGAAAGTAGGCGTTCATCATAAAAATTGTGCAGTGGTAAGCAATGGCATTAAATTGAAGCATGCAGGCAGGTTCAGTGAGTTGTATGGCAAATGCAGGTGGTGAGTGCAATATAGCTAGTAAGAGTGCAGGATAAGCAATAGTGAGACATCATGAAAATGGCGCGAAGACAGTTTGAAGCTGTGAATGGCATAAGAGTTCAAAGTAGAAGTATGCAGTAGATCAAAAAGTTCGTAGAATCATACGATAAAGTAAAAATTCATACAAAATAATTAAAAAATGAAATAGTAACATAAAAATCTTGAATAAAAAATTTTTCTTGATTAACATAAGTATAAGATGCAACACAAATAATAGGATAGAGTCCAATTTCAGAGTTCAAGTAAATTTTAAAATTAAAATTTACAAGTTACCACCATGACGAATTGTGATGAATTGTCCTTGGGCGTTTGACAGTGTATTCAATGGTTGGATCATAATCCAACATTTGTTTAATTGCGTTATACTGACTATGCTTCATCTTCTCGAAGAAGTTGTGAGCTGTCATGAGTATAAAGTTATGCACAGATGGAATATCCAGGTCGTTATGAATTATAGAGTTTCTCACGTACCAAGGTGCATTCACAATGCTACGTAGAATTTTATTTTGAAGTATATCCAATTTTTTTGCGCTCAGTTTTATTGGCGATTGCCCATGGCCGGCACTGCATATAGCATGATCGGTCGAATTAGAGATATGTAAAGCATTTTCTTTATTTTTAGACTGAGCTTCGATTTTTTGCCGATAATAGGATAAATTGCCATGTAGGCTGCATTTGCTTTGTTTAAGATATAAGAAATATGATCTTTGAAGTTGAGAGACTTATCTATGTAAACACCTAAATATTTATAGGAATTAGCTACAGGGATTAGAGTTCTATCTAAGTAGATATCAGTATTAACTCTTAATCTTGTTTTGTATCTCCGATAGAGCACAATACAACATTTAGAGGCGTTGAGCTTAATTTTCCAAGTCTTGCACCAGTGATTGATCATATTGAGATGCATTTGTAAATTACTTAGAGCGAGCTGGGGACTTCTGGATTCAGTCAGTACTACAGTGTCGTCAGCGTATTTGAGTATTTTCGTGTTGAATGGGTGCGGGAAATCATTGATATAAACATTATAGAGCCGGGGGGAAAGAACGGATCCTTGCGGGACCCCGCTATGAATTCTTTTTCTGACAGATAAGGCGTCACCGCAGCGAACTTGAAAAGTCCTGTTTTTCAGATAGGAACTAATGAGTTTTACGAAACTGTTTGGAAGCATAAAATTATTCAATTTATGCAGGAGGCCTGCATGCCACACTCTATCAAAGGCCTTTTCGAAGTCGAGATAGCATGCAGCCACCCCGTTTTTCTTAGTAAAGGCTTGCGAAACAAATTCCACCAAATTGAGAATTTGATGAGTCGTGCAGTGTCCACTGCGGAAGCCGAATTGCAGATCATCTATTAAATTGAGTCTTTCGAGATGGTTAGTGAGCCTTGAGCAGAGGATTTTCTCAAATACTTTTCCTAATGAAGGTAAAAGACTGATAGGTCTGTAGGAAGTGACGAGTTTAGGATCTTTCTTTGGTTTTAAGATATTGACTATTATGGAGTGTTTCCATTGCTGAGGGAAATAATTATTTCGGATGCAGGCATTAAAAATATTGACTATGTTAGTAATACAACGTCTAGGAAGAGCTTTAAGTGCTTCATTGCTAATTTGATCATAGCCTTTGGCTTTCCTTGGCTTGAGTTTGTGAATAATTTCTCTTACTTCTCTTGGTGAAGTAAAGGGAATGAAATTTGTTATAGGATAATTGTTAATACTGTCAATGGTAAAATTAACTTCTTCTTCTTCTTGGGAGTTATTCTCAGGCGGGTGAGGTTGAAAGATTAGCCATTATATTAGCAATCTCGTCCTCAGATTGATAGGAGATTCACATGTGATGAATTGCATGAGTTTGATTTGGTCTGCTATTTCTTAGAGATTTAGCAATTTTCCATACTGCTTGATCTTGAGGATCCAGGTTTGATAGGAGAAAGTCCCATTTTTTGTTTCTGAATTCCATAATTTCATGCTTGATTTTCCTGTTTAAAAAGTTGATGTGCCTTTTGGCACGAGGGTCTCCGGACCGCTGCCATTCCTTATGTTTTCTATTCTTCTCTGTAATAATATCTTTTATATATTTAGGAAGGGAGAGAAAATTAGTGCTTTTGCAGGGATAAGTCGCATTATTGATTGCATCTTTCATTTTAGTGGTGAATTTATAAATTTCATCTTCGATATCACCGCAATGATTATAATTATTTCTGCAATTATAGTCTTTCATAGTATCAGAGAATTGGGTCCAATTTATCTTAGTTCTGTGTTTCTTTAACGGGGGATAAAAGCCATAAAAGTCGAAGTTCACTGGAAGATGATCAGAATTTAAGTCCGTTATTACTTCTAAGAGAGGGGTATGAGAGGAATATTTTTAAGAAGTACAATGTCCAAAACTTCGCCGTTTCCGTTAGCACCAAATCTTGTTGGAGAAGTGGGAGCAGCAAAATTGAGGTCGTTGCTAATTAAATAGTTATGTAAAATGTTTCCATTGCTATTAGATCCTCTAGAATTCCAAGGCATTATGCTTTGCGTTCAAGTCCCCTGCGATGATAGTCGGGAAGTTGGTGGAGGTTAAGATATCCAGGTCATTATTAGTCATCAGATTATTAGGAGGATTGTAAATAGAAATAAATAGGTAGGCTTCATTTAAAGCAGTATAAATGATAGCTGAAGTAAATTCGAGCAGACTATTGTGAGGAAGATCATATTCAGTATGCTTTAAGTGATTTTTAATGATAATTGCAGTACCACCCCATCTACTTCGGGTTCTGTCTTTCCTTATAATATTGTAGCCGTTTAATTTTAAATTTATCGCAAGCTTTAAGGTGAGTTTCACCTATCATCATGACATCAATGTTGTACTTATCCAAGTAATCTTTAATTTCTTGATATTGTTTTATGACACCGTTCGCATTGAAATAGGAAATTTTTAAGAAGCTATTGGTAGCTGAAATCATCGCGTTTATATTGCTATAAGGTCTAAAAGTCATGGTCTAAAGAAGTGAAATATTCAATTGCGGCCATTCCGACCTCCAGTTTACCCATGATGTTTTTCGCTTTTTTTTAATTCTGTAAAGAATTCTTTCGCTTTTAGGAGTTGGGTTTTTATCCATTCAAAAAATGAAACCTCTTTAGTTTCGCTTTCTTATTTATTTTTGTTTTCCTTTTGAGTTGTACAGCTCGGTTGATTTTTAGTATTTTCGTTTTCCGTAGCTCCAGGGAGAGGTAGGAAAATCTTCTTTATTTAATTGAAATTGTTTCTGTTCATGCTTTTTCTCGTTTTGATTGCTCTTATTGAAGACTCTTTTGGGTAGGTTATCCGGATGGTATTTACATTCCTTCGAGTTGCTCGGGTGGCAATCGCCGCACAGAACGCAGAGCGCTGGTAGTTTGTCCTTGTTCTTCTTACAGGTGTAAGTTTCGTGCGGTTCGGCGCATTTAAGACACCTAGGTTTGTAATGACATAGATCTCGAGTGTGTCCGTATCTCTGGCACCTGTGGCATTGCACAGGGCCAGGTCTGGATTTGTAAGCACGGACTATGACGTCTAATCCACGAAGTTGCTTTATTTGGTAGATTTGTTTACCCTTTTCGTTTCTTTTGACCTCGACTAAGAATATAGGTAGTTTAACAATTTTTCCTTCTCGGAATCTTTCGAGCTGACGTATCTTTTCTACAGGAATTCCGTGTTCAGTGAGTTCTTTGTGAATTATTTCCACGTTTGAGTTTCTAGGCAGTTTTCTTAATTACTACTTTGATTGGTTTTTCGGAATTAATTTTGTATGTGTGGAATTGCACACCTCGTTTGGCCAGAAACTCCGTGATTGCGTTGCGCGATAGTCATCTTTATCCCAGACTTTGATGTTGAGTGTATCTCCTGTGAGATTGCCTTTGACTTTTTTTTACTCCTAAATTTTCGATTTCCTCTTTTAACGTATCCCAGTTGGCTTGTAAAATCTGAGAGAACAATTGGGGGAATATGTCCAGTGCTTTTTTTGGCGAGAGTAAATCCTGCGGACTCTGAGTTCGATTCCTGCTCCATGCGGTCATCGTCCTGTAGGTCATTGAACTTATTTTTCTGTACGGGTAGTTCAGCTTCCGATGAATTTGAATGCGTTCGTTTATGCGTGATGCGGGGGGTTTTAAACCCGTCGCTGTCAGTAGTAATTTTCTTTTTCTTATTCTTAGATATAGTCGAACGCTCTATATTTTTTGCATCGCTTTTTTGTGTTTTATTAGATGCTTTTGCCTTTAACATAGCATCGCTTTCGTTGTTATTTTCCATAATGGAATTGTTTGTTTGATTTTTATATGCATGACGGCCAGATTTAAGAATGCGTCGTAATCTTGAATGATGCGTTCAAGTTCCGCTATACGTTTGAGATCATCGCTAGTTTTCAACTGAGTTGAATTTAAGATCAGCAATAGCTTGCTTTTTTAGGGTTGTGTAAGAGCTAACATTGGGTGGGAGATTAGCTCTCTCTAAGTGTATATTAATTCTACCGAAGGCTTGTTCGGCGGCTGAGATTTCATTATCTAAATTTGCGGATGGCTGACACTCACTCATATTTCACCGAGGTAAAGCATAGCGAGGGAATCAAAAAGCAAAAATATCTTACCTAAATCCAGAGCAGCAGCTTCGGTGAAATACCGGAAGGCGTACTCCAAAGAAAAGCAAAAATATCCAAATGTATGCGCAGACGATGCGTTGAAAAACCCGATCTGGACGCGATTAAAAAGCAACCAGCTCAAAGCAAATTCCAACTCAGAATGAGAAAAAGCGTACGTATGATGAAATCGTGAAAGCGAGTGAATTTATAGGCAATATACAATTAAAATTAATGACATACAAAATAGTATTAATATTAATCAAATATCAAACTAATATTAATCACGTGTCAAATAATTAAAAATAATAAATTAAAAGAGATGTCATTCTAAACACGTGGTTCAAGAGTCGTTGCCACAAAATCCTAAAAATATATATTCGATGCCACAAAAAATAAAAACTTTGAAACATAAAATCGCTGCCACAGAATCAAAACGAAACTTGATGATGTCATTCCGTCTACGTCATTCCTTCCATCTGCATCATTTCCGGTTGTCACGTGATCCAAGATGGCGTAGGCCACGCCCCTTTTCTGTGACGTCACTTCCGTCGGTTGAGTACCTGCGCTTACTACTCATATGCTATTTCTGCTTGGCCTGTGTATTTATCACAGCATTCTTCTCGGGGTCAATTCGATTCGAAGCTCAAATGACTTTCGGAGGGCGCCAGATAATTTTTTCTCATAGCCGACAATTTACCTGAATTATTTATATGTTTGTAATTAAGTTCCTAACCCGTTATTTTACGTCAGTTTCCTGTTCTACCAGCCTTGTTTCCATTTCCCTGCCAGAATGTTAATTTTTTGGCTAGCGCTATATTTAAATTAAGTAGAAAGAAGAAAGTATTTAAAGAAAGGTTTCAGAGGGTAAAATTAGAACGTGTTCTGCCTGCTTTAAGGCAGACCTCGGACAGAGCCAGCTTGCGAATTAGTTAAACTGTGAAGCCGTTAGGCTATACTTATATTTCATTAGTTTTTAGTTCATCCATATCTTTGATTTCAAGCCAAAGCTATTGATTTCTGTAAGCACGAGTTGGTGCCGTCTGTTAAACTTTAATTGGATTAATAAAAGGGTCCTTTACACCCTTTCCCTGTCTCTGTCGTACTTACAAGACATAGTGAAAATTCGCTACTTGTCTTTTAAAGCTCTGGTCTAATTTTATGCTGCTAGGAAGGCTAGGCACTATATGTTTAATTTGTAGGGGGTGCTAACTGCACTAATTTTTAAGGTCACTGAGAAAAGTACAGAGAGACCTGGTTATTTCCTTTACTGTTATTCTGGATTTTGGATTTTAAAAGAGATTTATTAGGATTTAAAAAAAGAGGGTTAATTTTTTAAAAAGAAAATATAGCAAAGCTCAAAGCTTCATTCCATATCAATTAATGGCAAATACTTCTTCGCTTTAGGGCATAAGCTCCATTGGAAAGCTATGCTTTCATTAAGCGGAAGAAACCTGTCATATGTGCACAGAATTTACGCAATAAAACTGAACTAATAAATGGAAATTAGTCAAGTTTTGGTTACCCCGTCTTGTTTAATATAAAGCATATGTATTATTTTCACATAAATAAGATTTTTGGCCTTTTATTAAATGTATGCATCTGAACGCTTTCCTCCAACAAAACATGTAGTGCTCACATGTAACAGTTTAACGACAGAGAGTATTCTCCACTACTCCCCGTGTGGTTAAAACCGCTAAATATTGGTAGTTCGCCCTGGATTCGAACACAGGCGAATGGGTGCTTTCCTTGGTTTTGCCTAGGCAATGTCAATACGACCCAATTTCCCTTAGAAATTGTTTTACAAAGTTATCCCTTCCCTTTGGTAGATAGCTCTCGTGTGCTTTGAACCATATTCAAATAGCCTAACCTTAAACGGTAGGGAGCAAGGAGAGTAAAAAATTAAATGCCATAGCAATGAATCAAAAAAAAAAAAAAAAAAAAAAGAGGTTTGAATATTTGCGGTAAAAACTTAAAAAGTAATCTTTTCTGTGTATATTAGTAGTCTAATAGTTTAAAAGCAGAGCGTGACGCAAATAATTCTAGTAGATGTATGTAAAATAAACGCAAGACGTAAAATACGAAATAGTCTTGGGATTGTGGTGCCATCTGTTAGATTGTACAGTAAACAACTACAATTATCTCTTTAATGTTCTAATATTTATTAAAATCATAAATACATTTATGAAGTCATAGCATATTCACACGAATTACGCATAAACTGAATAAATATATTGCATTTTCCTTTTCATTGCTACATAACTAATTTTCATAGAAATTTTACAACATTTTATTTTAGCAACTCGTTTTTTCTCACGAAAATGTACACCCTCTTTGATATATGTATGAAAGTTTTAAGGAAATCATTCGGTATCTTCCGGCATACGCATAGTGAATCTCAGAAATTTTCAGATGTTATTGTGGATTTTTTAGAATTCGGCCAAAACAGACAGGATTTTAATATTCATTCACAAGCTTTGCTATTTCACTTTAGCTGCTCAAGCGAAGTACCTAACCATTGCACCTGAGAAAATGCGCCGAACTCATTATAGTCGGCAATGCTTTTTTCTGTTTGTTTGTTTGTTTATATATCGCAAGTGTGCATGGAGAATAGAGATCGAATTGTGGAGCATGGCCTGTTTTAACCTTCAAGCAGATTTGCAAGATGAAATAAATTTTAAATAAAATATCGTACATACGCGTTTGCAAATGTGACCTCGTTTAACATTTCTTAATCAAATCAGTTTATAAATACCTTTATATGTAATGTGTCAATTTTCTTGTTTGTTTAATTGGTTATGAAGGAGCTTACGAAGAGAAGTACGTGCGCTTTTTGATGGTAACTGGTGCGTAATTGCGTTACAGATAAGGAAAATTTCAGTTTCCTTTTCTATACCTTTAATAAATTTGGATCGGATTGGATTATTTAGATTATGGCAGAGCACGAATTGTTAAAATTTTAAGATTAAAAAATAATAGGCTGCTTTAAAAATTGTATTTAATACTATTTTGCAAGTTTTTATTTATTTTATTTGCTTTTCTTTCACTATCCCGTTACTAAGTGACTTAAAAAAATGTTGTTAGTTCCATTGGTTATATTTTACTGCTAAGCAAACTGCGTTAGCAATTAAATTCAGTTGCCTTGCGAACTAGACAGTACACAAAAAATGAGATCACTAATGGAAGAAAACACATTTCAAAGCTAGTATGTAGTTTCAGATACAGCGATATCCCTGTTTAAATAATATCTGTAATGATAATAAAAGATATAAAGGTTAAATAGTTTCTATAGGTCTATAGTTATTTCTTATTATTATGTCTGGTGAGAGAAAGTTTTAGTACATAAAACAAAAGCTCTAGAAATTCAAAATAAGTTAAGGAAAAAGTTTATTTAAAAGGTGCACCACTATCCAAGCCTCTTAATTCAGAATGTGATTTCCCGAGGAATTTTTCTAATCGAATTTCTTTTTATGTAACTCTGCATACAAAGTCATATAATGTGCAATAGATGGCGCCACTTGTATTCTAATTCTGAACAACTGCTCAATTTTGATGTAACATTCAAATAACATTTTTCCCAAATAAATACTAATCATCTGTGTCCGAGATAACTATTAAACATTTGTTTATCAGCACGCATTTTAATTTTTTATTCTAACATTTTCAAAACAAGGTACAGTGTTGTTTTTGTTCTGCATTGAAGACTTTCACTCAACTAATATAATCTAGCTCTACGACCTAAATTTTCAGTTATCAACTGCACCTCAGATTTCGGATGCCGATAATAATTTAACAGGTATGGCATCCGTTTTTAAGTATAGATATTACTACTGAGAGAGAGAAATCTTTTGCAAGTCGACCTCCTGTTAGTTGTCGATAGAATCTAAGTAACATTTGCTCCTTCATATCATGTCTTTCTAACGGAATTTTGAGGAGTAGCAATCGTTGCATGACAAGCAAGGAAAATTTAAAACACTTGAAAGAGATATGGTGTTTTCACTCTGCGCTTTCACTTTTGGTGTAAGTTTGCGTGAAGACATTACGTGCGAACAAAAATGATAAGCTTCTGTTAATCCAAGCTACGTAAGTTTTCTTTGTTTCTCAAAAGTAGAGCCATTAGGCATTTTGCCGCTCGCTGAAATCTCTGTTAAATTCTGTTGACCGGTGCCTATCTAAATTCTAAAAATTTTGCTCTTGAATGCTTCTCTCAATTCTGAACTCTTCGTTGCCCTTAAATTCTACCAACCGAAGCAGCCACACAGGCTCTGAAAATAAACCGAGCTATTTAAAAGCAATATATACTTCTTAGTAATAATTTGATATTTTTCAGGGGTACCAAAACTTTTTATTTAATTTCATACTACAAATACTATTAATATAATTCTAATATTGTACATTATGTAAATAGATTACAAAATTTTCCCATATTTCTTTTAACCCCATACACTATTGTCTGACTTAAAAAAATGTGCAATGTGTATATTAGCAAGTTTCCCTTAGAACGTCCTTCACGAAGACATTCTTTTATCTTAGGCAGATAGTCCTCGAAGCTTTGCCGTAATGTCACATAAACCTAAACCTAAACCTGCCTTCAAAAAATATATCATAATTGATCAAATTTTTCTGTGGTAAAAGAATACAAGTATCTGCATATTTATTTCCTATTATTTTTACATAGCACATAGGCACGTGTAGAAACTGTATTGCACCAGATGGCGCTGTGTGCGGCTGAATTCCTTTGAGGACTTCAGAACTTTGATGACTGTGAGTGATGTAACAGGAAATTACATTACTTGCGAATTGCGAACTAAGTCTATATGTGCTTCTTTATTGTAAATGTATTTATTGTGTCGTCAATAAAAATTGGATAAAATGACAAAAGGCGAGAATCCTTGCTGCGTCTGATAGATAAGCGAAATTTCTTTATTATTATTTGATTTGAATATTGACTTTTAGAACAATGCGAACGCGAAATTAGATTGAGCATTTACAAATCTTTTTGGTGCCGAAACCCGGGAACGAACCAGGGACCTTTAGATAAAGTAAATTGCGAATTGAATACTGAAAAACGTATTTAGCGAATTGAATAATTTAAATTGTTATGATGGATATTGAAGCTTTAAAAAAGATTAGAATACCTGTCAGACGCGCGGCCGCTGACACTATGAAATTGTTAGAAACTGAAATAAACAAACAGGAAAGATCAATTGATTTAATTGATCAACTTTTAGATAAGGAAGCTAATTTAAAATATCTTAATGAAGAAATTCTAAAACTGTGCAAAACGGAAGAAATAGAAAACGAAGTTGAAAAATAGCAAGAATTATAAAGATAATATCATTACTTGGAAAATTCGCGCGAATAGAATCCTGAGAAACGATCAGAACTTGAACTTAAAAACTTGTGGACTGTCATTAGTCATCCAACAGACGTTTACGCCTCACACAAAATCCAATGGTGCTACATAGCTGAGAAAGTTGCTTGGTGGGGTGGCTTCTATGAAAGACTAATGAAATCTGTAAAACTTGCTTTACGAAACCTCTAAGAAAAACTACTTTATCTCGAGACGAGTTAGAAACTCTAATTATTGAAATTGAAGGTGTGCTTAACTCTCGTCCTTTAACTTATGTTTATTCTGAATTACAGGAACCTATGCCTCTAACTCCAGCTCGTATGCTATTGGGGCGCAGACTGAATAGTTTGCCTCCTGCTAGGTTTCATTTTGATTCTTATTTAGTAAATAGGAAAATGCTAATTAAAAGATTTAATTACTGAAAAAGATTGGTAAGTATGTTTGGGAATAAATGGAAAAATGAATACCTTGCTGAGATTAATGCTGAGATCTGTTCATTGTGTTAAATCTTGAAGTAAAATTACTGAATTTAAAGTTGATGATATTGTATTAATTCATGATGAAAAGCTACCTAGATATTTTTGGGAATTTGGAAGAGTTGTAACAGTATTTCCTGGCAGAGATGGAAACATAAGATCTTCTGAAATTAAAATCAGTTATATCAGTTATATATCAGTTATTAAAAGACCTGTGCAGCTTTTATATAATCTTGAAATAAATGAATAAATTTAATTGTTTATTATATGTTTATTAATCTGTATTATTGTTACAGGACTATTCCAGATACGTGATGAAAGTTTTAATGTATGTACAGGTGTTGCCAGCTTATTATCTTTATTATACTTTATTGCAGGTAACTTTGCAAATTGTTTAAAGATGAATGATTTGTTTATATAGTAAATAAGTGTAGTTTCTTTAATATGTGAATTGATTGAACTTTAAGAGTTTCTTTTGTTAAATTTGTATTAATGTAAATGTTTGAATGAACCCCTGGTCATTCGGGGGGCAGTCTGTGGAAATTGTATTGCACCAGATGGCGCTGTGTGCGCCTGAATTCTTTTGAGAACTTCCGAACTTTGGTCGCCGCTTTTTCAGATGGCCCAGACTTTCCTTTCCCCATCGATGACGAATAGCTGACATGCTTTGCATTTTGTAATCGATTACGAAGTCTCGATACTTTGTTTACGTTTTATGCGGAATTGTGGCAGATTGTGGTGAGGTTGTATATGGAAAATCTTGCGGAATTAATAAGAGCCGCTCTTCGTATTTAATTTTTTTTTCCTTGCTGTATACGAGACTGGATGCAATGCTAATAAATCGCTATGCTACAGTCAATTATTTCCATTATTCGAATTAATTCATCGTGAGAACTTTAAAAGTCTTAATAAACAGAAACTTACTCATATTTCTGATACAAAAGTATTGATATGCTTTGTTCAGTTCTCTTGTTAATAAAAAACAGCAATTGTGCATGTAATGACAGTAAAATATAGTGAAAATTTATATATGTCTGTATTGTTGCCTAAGTAGTAATAATGCATGATTATAAAATAAATATTAGAATCTACTGAAGTAATAATTACATATGTTAGAACACAAGAAAAGAATCTGAATTTTTATTTATTTTAGTGACACGTATTTTTTTTAATTATATTCACAGAGTTCTTTTTTTTTTTTTTTTTTTTTTTTTTTTTTTTTTTTTATGTTTCCTCCAAACAGCAGAGATGCATGTCCTAAATTTTGTACTGAACAACACAAAATTATGTTCAAAGAAAAGAAATTCATAAATTCTGCATTGCCTACGATTGCCAGTTAAAAAAACATTTTTTTTTTTTCATTTCTCCACATCGAAAAATTATACCGGGGGGGTGGGAGACACCACTTTACTTGGCATTTGATGTTTTATATCAATAAAAATCCCATAGGTTTTAACCATTGATCCCTCTTCATTCTTAGCTTTAAGGAAATTTGCTTCTTATTTGCATTTTGGTCTCTTTCTGTCAATAGTGGTATTAAGGATTTGGTTTTTATCATTTAACCATACTTTCCAGTTCCTTTTTGTTGCTTCTCATGTAGGCACATGCTGATTTTTCATTCTTGCAGCAGTATGTTTAATACTCAGACCTTTTATGCTTCAAGTTTACAAACATTTTGTTGATTCTTTTTTTTTTTTATTGATTTCTTTAGAAATTATAATCCTGCTCAGTGTTAAGATTTATGCATTGTGTATATCAGATAATTATTAATAAAAGAAATGTGCATTTTAATCATACAATTATTTCTGTATCTGAATAGATTTGGATTTATTGAATTGAACTTTCCTAACACCCAGTGTGCATGTCGTGCTGAATGCATTATTTCAGATTCAAAATGTATAGACAGAGAACAGTACCAGAACGACAAAAGTGGTAATTTAACAACATAAATAACATTGGCATCAATTATCCCCTACCTAAGACAACCACTTCCATAGAAAATTTTTTATAGCAGCTGTGTCTGGCTGTCTTACAGACGGTTCACTGTATTTTGTGATTTAAAATTAATTAGCTCGTTATATTACTGATACAATTTAAAGTTTTTTTTTCTTAGTTAGTTCAAACAACCCATGTTACTGATCAAAAAGTAGTATCTTATGATTATTAGTCATATTATTAAAAACTTCAAAATGGCTTTTGGAAATTTTTCTCCTTACACAATGATTTGCAGTTTGGCAAAAAAGCTTTCACAAGTTGGTCTTCTTACTATGGGCAAGTATTGAATTTTGTTTCCGAAACGTTAACCAGTAATTTTGTTTAGAGTTAAAAATCATTTCTGTGGTATATGTACATCTTTTTAGTTTTTAATATACTTCTTCAGAAGTTCCTTTTCTTATGCCATAAGGGCATGTGTAAAATAAGCTTATTTCCTTGTATTATTATTAAGACCATCCAGAAGAAGCCTTTTGACAATTGATCACTGAAACTTACGCCGTACCTTTCTGTTAATTAGAAAATAATTTTGGATAATAAAATAAATATATTAGAAAAGTATTATATTATTAAAATATTTTTAAAAATATATTAAATTAATGTATTAGAAATCTCTGTAATTTAAAGCAAGCTTTCGTTCTTCAACTACATGTCCATTTCTGATACCCAAAGGCTAATTCCATCATAATAACTTATCTTTTAACCGGTCATTATTCAGCAAAACCTTTCTATTTGAAAATTCTGTGACCATCCTTTGTAATAAAGGCCCAAGATACAACCTCCACCACCTGCAAAATGCATAGCTCTCTTTGTATAGGATCTCTGTGGCTGTTACTGGAAGGCACTAAATAGTATGTTCAAGCACTAAATAGGCTTCCTTATTCTCTGTTATTAAGTACGTTAAGGCTGTTTACACCTTTTGTTCCAAAACAGATATTCAAATTAAATACATTAGGCAATTTGTGTTTATCTACCATTTGTTTCAATAATAATGTTTTTGTTGGCATTAATTTCTCTAAGTAATTTAAACATGAGGTTGTTTAAGGCATTTTTTATCCATTCATTTATTGAAATATTTACATTTATTCCTTCTTATATATTAATATTTACATTTATTACTTTTTTCCATTAGATAATCCAAGAATTTTATATATGTTACAATTTATGGTATAGGCTTGTATATATGCAATATGAATATATTTTTTTTTTAATTTTCCAGAAGAAAAAAATTCTTATCTTCTATTTGTGATCTTATTATCGGATTGTGTTATAAGGTATTTCTCCTGCCTTCGTAGCATGCCTCGGCATATATTCGAGAGGTCCATGGTTCGAGTCGCGAGGAGGGCATTGCTCGTTTTTCATGTCTCTCTGCTTCCAAAAAAATCCTAATGTCTCTACAGTGTCTTCTTCAAAATAAACAAATAATCTGATGGAATTAAAATATTTTGGTCATTAAAACTTTTTAATCACTGCTGTTTACATCTACATTTCTTTTTTTCACATAATTTGAAGGTTTTTAAACTATGTTTCAGAGAAATTTTAGATCATGCAACTCCTCTGGGGCATCTGCAAGTCAAAATCAAAATTTAAAACAATTTTTAATATCACTGGACATACTTAAAATAAAGAAATATTTTTTATTCTATTGTTATTGTTACAAAAAATAATATTAAGCAGATCTGTTTTTATGATTAAAATTATAATGAAATAATGATTTTCTTTTCACTTTCTGCATAAAATGCACAAATTTTGTATTTCAATTCTTTTTTAACATTTGCTTCTCTGGAAAAAATTACAATTTTAGAGTTTTATCTGAATTCACAGATTTGAAGAGAGTTGGATAGAAAAGCCACAATTTTTTAAATGGTTGAACAAATACAGCCCTGGGTTTTGTTATGTTTTATGCATTTAATAAATTTCCGCCCGACTGTTTATTCTTTAATTCTACCTAACACAATTAATCGATACTTGTTTCTAATATAGAATTTTAGCATCAATTCTACATAATAACATGAGTAATCTTTTTTTAATTGAATTTTATCATTATTAACAAAATACTTTGGCACTATGAACTGAGAATTTTTTCCTTGACTTTTATCTTTCAATACTTTAGGAACTGGTCATTGATTTACATCTATAATAAAAGAAATAAATGCTTGTATGAGTTTTAACATATTGTTAAAAGCAATAAACCTCAGCTCCTTTGTTGCATGAATAATGTGAAACTTCCCTGTTAAGTATTTTTTTTAGCATCTTCTATGTAACAGTATAGACTCCATGATTATTCCTTAAAATTGGAAGTATCAGAAATAGATGTAAATATGTATTGTCTTCTGCATTAACTTACAAAAATAAAAGTGTGAATATCTGAATGGAATTATATAGAAAGAGCTACAGGACGCTATGTTTTCATAATGGTCATTCCACTATACTGGAAATATTAAATCAAACAATAAGTGCAGGAAAAGATTCAGTAAGAGGATATACTCTCTTCTGAAACAATACATTTGACTGTAGTTGTTCCATATGATATTTCTATACAACATCCCAAAATCTTGGTAAATAACTTTCTAAACTAAGTTTACAGTGTAAAAAAAGTAGTGGAAAAATGTTGTAGTCATGTAACTGGGCTACCATACATAAAAATTAAGCAGTGTTACAAGTGTTTTTTATCTTAATTGTCTGTTACAACCAAATAACTAGATATGAGAAAGAACATGCAGTGTCAGTACAGCTGGATGATCCCTTTTACAGAGTTGCTAATTTGAAAACAAGTTAACCTGTAAAACTACCCTTCATACTGGTTTGCTTTAGATTCATTTGGTAACAAATATGCCATTTAAGTCTGTACCAATCAATCAATAAACCTTGTTACAAGCAAGTTTTTGTTTGCAGGATGCTGTTCATAATTGGTTTTCTTTTGGTGGTATAGCAACAGCGAAGGGAGAAAGATTCCGGGTAATTTAAATTCAACTAACATAGCAAATTCCATTCTTCTGTAACTTTATAATTTAATACAGCTTTATTTTTTCAGAATTTTATTCAAACTACTATTTCATCCATTGCAGACAAATTCCACAAGTGCATATTTTAAAATTAATTTCACGTTTAAAAAAGTATGATTTGTTATAAAAATAAAAATATGATTTAGTATGAAAATCATTGTAACTTAGGACAAATACACAACACAAAAAACAAAAAAAAAAAAACATACAAAAATGGTGATGCTGCTTATTAAATAACTGAAGAATTGTTATATGCACATACACATGGTTGACACAGTTTGGTGCATCCTGCTAAATTTGTTGTGGTAATATGGTAGCAAAAAAAAATTGTTTGTTTTTGTATTAAAATTATTAAGGTGTTGATGGCTAAGTTACACAAAGCAAGGTAACGTTACAGTAAGAGCTATGTACCTTAGGCAAAGGGATGCCTTTGAGAAGATCTTTCTATGAGAAATTGACTTGTATTCACATAATACATACGGAGAAACAGGAAAATTCCCATGCAGCTATCCCATTCACCAGTATTTGTACCTGGATCAAACATCCAGTGTTCAGCTATCTTATCTGCTAGTCTACTGGTGCCAGTCAAAATAGACAGTAATGTAATATTATACAAGCTAAGTAGCATTGCCTTATACATCACTAAAGAAATAAATACATTTCAGAAAACTTTCCTGTTTTCCGAAAGTGTCAATATCTTCATTATTATAACTTCCTGATATTTCAATGCATGTAATTTTATGATGAACTATTAACTTAAAATAAAACAGAATATTTTTTTGAATTGGTTGTGTTTAATTATAAGATTATTTTGAAAAACGTTGTTCCTGATAAAACTAAAGAATGAATTTTCTTTACACACTGACTGTTAAATTATTATATTTCAAATCAACAGATTGCATTTATACAATAAGACAGGATGAAAAATACAGTAGTCATTGAGGCAATTGTTGAGTTTCTGAAGAAACAATAATAAAAATTTTCAAATCTAACACAGTACACCTTGTTTAATGTTTAATATAGTATGGAATGTTTTGTAAAGAATCAGCTATTTTAAAAAAAAAGCATGCAATAGCTGACAATGAAACCAAATAAAAATCAAACAGAACTCTATTACACGTTATGCAACAAAATTAATGAATATGAACGTCTATAAACCTTTTTTTAACTTGGACCAGATCTTGAAACATCAACAAGATCTTAGGCAATAAAATTAATAAAAATTTATGTTGATAAGTACTTAAGAACAAATAGAACAAAATGGCGTAACTTTCAACTAGATAACCAAATAAAGTGTTTACGTTCTAGAGGATTTTATTTACTTCACACACATACATACATTATCTCTACATTTACTTTCATAACTCGTATCATACATAACATACTTCATAAGATACTCTTACAGAATGATTTTCTATAGTAGTAAGCAAATTTTTTTTAACAGTTTCTATTTCCTGTCTGCAAAGTATTCCTTTAAATTGCAAGGTTTCGCGATATTCATTTTCCTCCTGACAAAGTTCATACACGAATCCAAAACATTAAGGAAAACCTTCGTAATCGATAAACGACGGCCATTTCATTATCGCTGACAAGAGTCTGCCTATCGATAGTAAAAGGAAAGTCTGGGCCATCTGAAAAAGCGGCGACCCCGAACTTTGATGACTGGGAGTGATGTAGCAAGAAATTGCATTAAGTGCGAATTGCGAACTAAGTTTATATGTGCTTCTTTATTGTACATGTATTTATTGTGTCGTCAATAAAAATTTGATAAAATGGCAAAAGGCGAGAATCCTTGCTGCGTCTGACAGGTAAACGAAATTTCTTTAGCACGTTTGATAATACAAAAGAAAAAAAAAATTGCATTATCAAAACTTTTTTAATTTATTTATTAAATGGCCGACACTTGCTCGCTAAGTATTCATAAACAAATGGCCAAACCCGTTGGTCATTTAGCTGTCTCATCACGGAGAACGTTGTCCAGGATGAACAAGAAGTAACTCATGTTTCACCCGTAAAATGCGGGAGAGGAAGACGACGGAACTACAACCAAGCAATACGCGAGAAATCGAACCCATAGTGTTGAGTGATCAGTTAGATGGAGGCCTTTGTTATTTTAAAAGTACAAACCTTGGCAGAATATTATTATGGTATTACGACATATACCAGGCCAAAAGGCAAGTTTTAAAATAAAAAATAATTATAAATAAATAAAACACATCAGTTAAGCACTTCTGCTGTCATTAAAAAAATACGTTTCCTATTTTGATGTAGCGCCTCTCTATCAACAAACACCTTCTATCCAAAATGGAAGGGGGGATGGACTGTTGTACCTTATTTTTTGAAGCGAGCATAATTTTTACTTTGAAGAGGACAAGGCTCGAGAGTAGTTTAAAAATCACCGGTTAAAACGGCACACTATATCTGGAAATATAACTTAAAATTCAAAATTTCAATTTTTGATAAAACATTGAAAGGATAAAAGCTCCCTTTTCCCCAAATCTACAAATGACAACACTGAACAGCAATAAACGCATAGTTGGTAATACCAGTGTGGACGGTAAACTGACGTATGGTTGAGTAATACCGTAATTCCTCGCATATTTTTAACAGTTTTATCGCCCGAAAATCGAGAGGGGAATTAACATTCCAATAAGAATGCATAATAATATTAACATCACATTATCCAATAAAATATTTTCATTTCTACTTCTCCATATCTTAAATTTCGTTCGTTCTTACTGTTGTAATAATTAGAGAAAATGAACGTGCAGCTGAATCAGAGAAATCTTAGACTGAATATCAGTTCGTGTTTGCTTCGCTGTGATGGATCGGTTCTTGTATTAAGGCTGGCATAAAGTTCAATAGTTAAGGAATAAAGTTTCCGCGTGACTTTCACAGATAGTTTGTGAGGCTTTGTCTTCGGTAGTAAGACGAAAACAAACATTACATTTGACGAATCCATTTTAAAATTTAGGTGAGCTCTTTCTCTGCACGCATTAAGGAAGGGGTAAATAACGCGAAGATATTTTTAATTTTTTAGAACCTGGAACTAAAAAGCTAAGGAGGGCAATACACGACGAAATAATGTATAACCTAACGGTAATGAACCTGTACGACACAATATTTTTGATAAATCTTCACTAGAGACATTTCTGACGTCAATAATTAATAGTTAATCATCAATGAAGGAATCACTTATCTTTTAGTGATACATTTCCAACTATGTTTAAGCAAAAAAAAAAAAAAAAAAAAAAAA